GTCTGGGAAGCTGGCAGCAAGGCCATGGATGGGGGAGGTGGCAGTGACAGGGGTGGGCCCAGAAATAACCTTCCCTGCTCCAGCAAAATCCCTCATCTGGGACCAGCCAGGTCCCGAGGGTGCTGGACCAAGGAGGTCCAACCTGTATTACAGCCTAATGGCCAGACTCAATAAGTGTGACCCTTCTGCTTAAGGAATGGCCTAATGGCCAGTCAATAAAGTAGCCCACTCTGTGGGATTGCATCTCCGAATGGCCCATTTGGGAAGTGGGGCATCACTTCAGGGTGTGTGGCCCCCTTGGTAGGGGACTTGGGTCCTTCCTGCTCCTCCAAAGCCAGCCCAGAGCTCTGGCAGTGATGCGGGTTCTTACCACCAAATCAGCAGGGATCCTCCCAGAACACACTGACTGGTTCCCTGGTTCATTCACCAGACAATACTAGTCCCCTGAGCTGCTTTCTAGACTTTCTCCCTCAGCAAGCTCCACATCCCCCACTTATCCTGCAGGTCTCTGGGGTCCTCAAGTGATGTAGATCCTGCTGGTGCAATCCCTTCTCCAGGCTCACCAGGCAGCACAGAGCCCATCTGGAGCTTTGTGTGCTGTGGTGCCATAACCAGGGCCTATAGCAGCTCCCTGGAGAGACTCTGCATCCTCCCCCTTCACAACTTGCCTAGACTGAGTTGGGCTGCTTCCTTTCATACTCTGCCTCTACAGTGGCATAGTGAGGGAGGGCAGGGGTGCACTTGCCCTCAGGCGCCACTCTAGGGGGGGGCACCAATTTAGTCCCTCTCTGCTCCCCCTGTCATCCCTCAGCTCCCCTGCACCTCCTCCTGCTGCTGCCGGCTGGAGCTTGCTCCCCACCTCTCTTCCCCCAGCCCAACCCTCCTCCATCACCGCCGGCGAGTTAGTGCATGCGGGCCCTTTACTTCCGGGCTCGTAACACCTTCGCTACGTCTCTGCATATCGGAAAACCTAGTCCCAACTACAGTGGGGGGGGGGGCAGGCACAAATTTTGCCTTTGCTCCCGGGTGGGGGGGGTGGCACAAATTTTGCCTTTGCTCCCGGGCACATAACGCCCTGACTACGCCTCTGTGTCTCTAGGCTGAGCAAATGCAGCAGGGGCAGAGGAATGGGGCTTCCTCAGCCTGCAAAGCACAGTTAACACTCTTAGGATTGATGTGATTAGGTACACACGGTCCCAAGGAGTAGCCTATAAATATGCATGGTGCTTTAGTAAGAAAAGGAGAATGATGTGCTTAGGTACACACAGTCACAAGGAGTAGCCTATAAATGTGCATGGTGCTTTAGTAAGAAAAGGAGAGAAGTAAGGACACAAAAACTCTGCATACAGGAGTTTCTAGTCTAAATAAGACAGATAAAATGAATGATAATTAATAGATTAATACATTTCAACTCTAATCTGACCTGTTTATCAAAGGCCATTGAATCCACATACCCTTTCATTGAGCCCAATAGTGTATGTTTGACTAAGCACATTAACTGAAGTATAGAAAGGCACTCTGGGAGGGCGGTAGAAGAATCTACATAGAAAAGAAAAAAACACCTATCTTTCAGAAAGGTTTCAGTTTTGACTTGAGGCATCAAGAGATGGAGTATCCATCACTGCCCTTACATAGTGTGGTACAATAAGCATCACGGTTAAAATATGTGCCTTATTTCTAACTTGAATTGGTCTGGCTTCAATTTTTAGCTGTTGGTTCTTGTTATGCCTTTCGCTATAACATTAAAATGCCACTTAATATCTGACATTTTCTTCTATTGTACATTGTAATCATGTAATTGCAATAGTCCTTTACATAAACTGAACAGATTTCAGTTCTTTAAGACATTTAAGACATTCAGTTCAGCTCTTTAAGACATTTTCTCAAACTTTAAAATCATTTTGCTGCTCTTTTTTGCACCCTTTTGAACCTTTTTAAAAATGTGGACCCCAGAAAGGGATGCAGTATTCCAATATCAGTCTCATATACAGAGGTAAATCATTTCCCTCATCCTATTCACTAGTCCCCTGTTTATACACCCAAGGACAGCATTAGCCATTCTTTTGTTCCTAGCTGTATGACTTTGTCTTTGATTGTGGGCAAACATATTTTAGTTGAAGGGGTTCATCTTATCTAGTGATCCAGATTGTTCTGTACGACTGCCTTGTCCTCCTCATTATTTACCACTCCACCAATCTTGTGTCATCTGCAGATTATCAGCAATATTGTGATATTTACTTTGAGGTCATACATAAAAATTTTAACTGATAACAGGCTGAAGTGGACAGGGAAGGGAATCCAATTATCAGCAATATTGTGCTATTTACTTTGAGGTCATAAATAAAAATGTTAACTGATAACAGGCTGAAGTGGACAGGGAAGGGAATCCTGCCCTGGTAGGAGTCATTTCTTCCCTTCGAGAAGGACACACGTTTATATACTAGATGTCAGTTTGCTTCTCTCATCATGAATTTGTTATTTTGTTTTTAAATGATGATGTGACAGTAGACAGCACCAGGTTAATTGCAGCAAGGCAACTGAAAGGGGTACTGGGGAGAGAGAGTCATGAAAATCTGCAGCAGTGAAAAATTTTTTTTTTTTTGAAATTCATGTCCTTTGTAGGCTGGGAGGAGAATGAGAAGTTCCAGTTGGGCATCTAGCAAGTGTGACCAGGCCTGCCTCTGATTTGTTAGCTCTAGGCACAACAGATAGAAACAAGAGATGATAAAAAACAACATAGAACCTGGAGACATGAGTTCACTCCTAACTGATAACATACTCTTATGTCGTGAGTTCGAGTGCCTACATACAGGGAGAGTATGAAAGAGGCCTACATACAGGGAGAGTATGCAATGCAACAGAAGACTCAGTGTCCTGGTCAGTGATCAGGGCCTTATCCTTCTCTTTGTTGGGAGGACAGATCATCTCCCATGCATGCAGTTGACTTTGATAGATCAGCGTCTACTTTTATTATATTTGTAATGTGTGGATTAGACCTTGGGCAGGGAACAGTAACTCATAAAACTGAAAAACAAAGTCCACACCCATACAGTGCATAGATAAGCAAGGTGCCTGTGTGTGCATACCCTTCTGACCTCCTGGCTTTCTGTGTTCCAGATACAATAAGTGTCACTCTGACCTGATCATGCTGTCACTTTCTACTTTGCTCTTCTGCCAACAGATTTTGGAGCTGCTGTGTCAGATCCTGCAGACAGACTCCTTATCGGCTATTCAGCAATGGCTGCTCACAGCTGGTCAGAGGGGTGAGGAGAACCTGGAACCTCAACAGGGTGCCTGGGCAAGAGGAATAGATACCCACTTCTATTCTCAGAGTTTGGCACCCTAATTATCTCTACTTCAGCATCCACTAGTTTAGTCCCAATACACACTTCATAGCAATTCAGGTCAACCCACATTTCTGGAGTGCAGTTTTCTTTGAGGAAAGGTTTGCTTCTGGAGAAAAGGTTCCTTTGTATGGAATCTGTTAGGGTTTTTAATATCCTAGTTTGCAGTAACTGGGGGAACTAAGGATATGAATTTTGTTTTGTGTTCAAAGACTCAATTGCTGCAGTGATGGGACTGGTATAAAATCTGGACAGAAGAATGGCGTGCATGGCTTTCCAAAAATTGTCTCTCACTGGTCTCGGTTTTTTCTTGCCTTTTGGGTTCCACTGACAGTTACTGAATATGGCCAATGTTAGATTAAAGGATTATTTCTATGTAAAAGTTGGAGACCAAAATTATTTTCATAGGTACTGAGCTCTCATAGACTCAATGGCTTCAGATGCTCAGTACCTATGAAAATCAGATTACTGATCTATCTGCTTAAATATGACTTTAGATGCTTAACTCTAGGCTTTTATGTTTGAATATTTAGCTTCTGCATTACAGGCTGCAGCTGAAGGTAATGTTGCTGCTGCTGCTGAATTCAAGCTGCACTACTGAGTTCCAATATAAAAGTGCAACTGTAGGAACGTAATATTGTAATTGTAGTTATTATATTCATTTTAAGGATATTTATTCTGGGTGTCCACCAGATGAGTAGGGAAAATCCCTGTTTCCCCAAAAAGGGATACAGTGGGATCTGGAGCAGCTTTTCTGTCTTAGGTAACATAGTAGTTCATGGTTCCATGGATCTGTCTTGCAAGAAGAGACCATTACACAGGCTATCACTGCAGTCCTACTGTAGTTCTGATTGACCATCTCTCTACTTTGCTTGAACACATGCAGTATATAGGGCAGAGCATGTGGGCAAAGAAAGTGACAGAATACAGGAAATGGGGGAATACATTTATGACATTCAAATGTTTCCAGATTGGAACTTTTTGAGAGGAGCAAAGTGTGTGTGTGTGGGGGGAGGGGGGGCGGGGATTGCAGGTGAGATATGGTTTCTTCTGCTTTCTACTTGTCTTTCTCTCATTCCAGAAAAGGATCTTGTTATGAAGATGTTACAGACTGCAACTGCCAACCTAAAACCGGAGCCCCAATCCTCAGGCATCAGCATGGAGCAGAGGCTTCAGTCCCAGATGTCCCAGACTGCAGTGAGCCTGTCCTGCAGAGGGCAACTCTTGGGAAGGAATCATCCAATCAGGTTCTCTAATAAAAACTATTCAACTAGATGTTCAGTGGGACAGAGAATTGAAACATTTCACTTAGAGCACTGGGGACACACTGGATACCTTATTTTGCATGAACAGCAGCTAGAGGAGAGAAAGAGAGTCACCATGCAAGCAGTAAAACTGATTAGAACACCTACTGAACTCTCCCCTCCCCTTGCATTTCTAATGATTTAACTGAAGGCCTGATCTAAAGCCCATTTAAGTCAATGGTACAGCTTGCAGTCATTGCTCAATGGAGGCCCATGATTTCAATAGCACATGGGTCAGAGATTAAGGTGAACCGTTCAAATTGTTCAGGGGCTTGGATTCAGTACTTGCATGTGAACTTCCAGTCAATAGCATGAGCAGAGTAAGTAGAAACTAAAAATACACATAAACACAGGATGTGAATGGCAAAGTGGCGGACTAGTGCAATCATCAGCCCTTCATTTCTGTGGCTACCATATTTATTCAAAATTTAGAATTTTAGAGTTAGAAAAATACTTAATTTTCTCTGCCATTATTCATAACAGATTGTCTCAGAGACAGAAGCAAGAACCCATTCCAGAGGAAGACAAGCCAGGTAAAAATATTAAATACATTCTTTATATTGATTACAAACTCCCTTTGAATCCAATGATCTTAAGGCATTTTATAAACATAATTAATTACCAGACCTTGGAGGTAGGTACGTATTTTATCCAGGGGGCCAACAGAATTGCCAAGTCCCTGGGCAAGGCGGAGGGCAGCTCTGTACCGCTAGAAGGGGTGGGGCCTCAGATGGAAGGAGTGGGGCTCCGGCAGCCAGGACTCCGCAGTGCCAGGAGCATGCCATGCTACACCCCCTTTAGCCTGCCTTTAGCACCACCCAGAACATGCCACCTAGCACTCCAGCAGCAATGTAAAGGGACCAGGGCTCCAGCCATCACTGCTGCTGGAGGCAGCCCTGGCCCTTTTGAATAATTGCGGCTCAGGGCAACTGCCCTCTTTGCTCCCCCTTCCCGCTGTTGGTGGGCCTGATTTTAACCATATTATGGATGATGCCTTAATGAAGTTCAATGATTTGCCAAGAGTCACACGGTGAGCCAGTGGCAAAGCTAAGAATAGAACTAAAGAGATCCTGGCTCCCAGTGCAATGCTTTAACCACTTGATCACACATTCATAGTACATTCACACTGTATTATGAGTGTAAGATTGTACTACAGATAGACAAATAAATGACAGCAAATTCCTTGCAGGCTATATTTTGGTAACACAGTCGGAGTTAAAGTAACCTTTGTGTGGTTACTTCTGAGCATAGGCGTGCGCAGCACATTTCATTAGGGTGTGCACCCAAATAATTTTTTTAAAATGTACTCTTTGACCCCCCCCCCATTAGGCACACTCCCTAACCCCCATTAGCCACACCTCTGGAGGTAATACTTTCGGGGCAATATGGACACATGACCAGAAATAAAAGGTGTCATGTGACCACCCCCCCCCCCCCCCCAAGGATTCTTCCCACCATCCTTTTACCACTAGGGATTAGTTTGGCCCTCACCAAACCCCCCTCATGCAACTATCCTGCAATTGCATTACCCCAATGTGTGTGACATTAACTCTGGGGCAGAGAGGCTGGGGGACGTGTTCCCCCTAAGAGTTTCCTCCCATGAGCACAATACATTTTGTGTTATGCACCAATACTGAGTTTGTGGCTTGTTTGGATGTGCCACTGTGGCACGCAAGTTATTAATAAGTATCTTATAAACCTCTACCTTTTCCCTCTGCTGTCATGTCTCCTCCCCTTGCTCCATCAGATCCCCTGGTCCCTCCTGCCTCTCCCAACCCCTCACCCACCTCTGCTGTCCTGACTTCTGCCCTTTTCAGTGCCCTCAGCATTTCTGAGACCTGCCCCCCTCCACCAGCCTTTCTCTCCCCCCTGTGCCCACTCCTCCAGTAGCCCCACTCTGATCATGTGAGCTACCCCTCCTCATCCCCTCTCCTAACACCTCCCACTACACACCTGCCCTGCCGCTCTCCTCTGGTGCTGGTCCCTCCTCTGCAGGTGTCTGCCCTTCTGCTTCACCCCCAGAATCCCCTGGCACCTGCACCTTCCCTTACCCCTGAACCCTCCTGGTTCCTCCCTGTTCCTTCATTGCCCCTGCCCCCTTTGTCCTCTTTTCCCCTGATGCCAACCCCCTCACCACCCTCTGCCCCTGTTCCCCTCATGCCCCTCTGTGCCCTCACACATGCCTTGCTCCATCCCTGCCTTCTTCATGTGCACTCCTTCTTTCAAGACTTCTCCCAGCACCTCCCCTTCTCCCCTCTAGCCCCCAAAGCCCTTCCCCTTTCCTCTCCCCCCTTACTGACACTTCCCCTCCTTCCCTTTTCCTCATTGTCTCCACTTGGCCCCCTGGCATTTGTCTCTCTCCTCCACCCTGTCCCTTGGTGCCTTCCCCTTTCTTCTCCTGACCTGCCCCCCTCCCCTCAGCACAAGCCCCTTCCTCTCTGACCCTTTCCGCCTATTTTTCCCTCCTCCTCCAGCAGCCACCAGCTGGTCTGTAACAGAGTTCTAGGGTCACCCTGACTATCACCCTTCTGGTGCTCCCCCTACTCTGTCTTTCTTAAGTTTCTCAGCCACCTTTTGGGCCACAAACCCCCACCCCACCGTCTCTGGTTTTCAAAGTTCCAGCAGTCTCCCCATCACTTGGTGCCTGCTCCGGGTCTGACTCGTAGGATTGCCAGGTGTCCGGTTTTCTACCAGACAGTCCAGTTTTTGGGTCCTCTGGTAAAAAAATCCAGAAAATACCCGACACATACAATGTCTGGTATTTCCTGGTTTTCCGGCTTAGCAGCAGACTGAAGCCTAGTGGCAGCGGGGGGAATGACTGGAAGGTGGGGCGCGATCAGCTCTGGGATCCTCTAGTTGAGTCTGATGTCTTGGGGAGGAGAAGCCTTGTCCCTGAGCATTTGAGGAGCTACAGCTGGTAGGGTTACCAGGTAGACCACCCCCAAAAAAACCAGACACACTTGATCATGGACCAGGGGGAGGGACTGGACTGGAGGGGGGATGGCCAGGAGGGAGGGGGGGAGGAAGCTGAGCTGGCAGGGGACCAAGGGCCACAGGGAGGAAGGGGGGCCCGGAGGAAGGAGGTGCAGGAAGCAGAGCTGGGGGGAGGTCGAGGAATGCCAGGTTGGCTGGGAGGAATTGGGGGGGATGGGAAGCAGCTCTGGGGGCGTGGGGGCCAGCCGCGCTGTCCCCAGCCCCCCCTGACCCTGGGCCCCTCCCTTCCTGGGCCAGCCGCGCTGCCCCCGGACTTCCCTGACCCCAGGCTGGGCTGGGCCAGGCCAGCTGTGCTTCCCCCGACCACGGGCCAGCCGCCCTACTCCAACCCGAGCCCAGCTGCGCTGCTCCTGACCCGACCCCCCCCCACACACACCAGCTGCGCTGCTCCCGATCCCCTGCCCGGGGCACACACCCCGCCATCCCGCCTGGGGTTTAAACTTACCTCGCTTGCCTGGGAGGCGGGATGACAATGCTGCTCCCTGCCGCCTGTTTCCGTGGAGTCCTAAGACCTGCCGATTTTGGCCGTGCATGCATGGCAAACCCAGTGCAGTGTCCGTTCCCCAGCGCACCAGGGTGGCCCTTTGAAACATTAGGGTGTGCCTGGGCACACCCAGCACACCCCATGTGCACACCTATGCTTCTGAGTGAACAATAGTGCATACCCTGTGAGTGTTTTCAGCCTAACAGGAATTTGGGCATGGGATCAGGATAGAATTTGATCCTTAGTTTTGCTGTAAACATTCTTCTAAGTGATATATCCTTGCTGGTAGAAATAAGTACATTCAATTTTTAAAGAGTAAAATATGTTGCGACTTGCCATTCCCCTGAGGTCCAGTTTTCAAAAAAGAAAATATTCAAATGCAAATAAACAAACCTGGCACTACTTCCAAATGTCTGTTTTTCCAAATCTTGAGATTTATCACAATGAACACTTCCATGAGCAATTTTTGTCTTTTCTAGCTAAATAAAGTGCATTGTTATAATGAGTGAAAACAAGGAGCTACTTTTTCAAGAATTCTTGAGACTCTCATCCCATTTTCAAAAGTGACCTTGATTTTTTAAAGATATTTAGATGCTTTCATATGCAAATAGACATTTAGTTTGAATTTTTTTAAGTGGCTAGACACCTAGCTCCCATTGATTTCAATGGGAAATAGTGTTCTAGGGGCTTTTGAAAATCCTAGTAGATGACTTTCTACATTTGTAGTTGCCTCAATGCCTTTAAAAGTCTGGTCTTTGGACAATGAATAGAGGAGTTCCTTTGTGTGATTATAACTGGTGTTGACCCACATCAACCCATCCCAAATGTGTTTTTCATTTTCAGTGCATATGGGTACTGCAGAAGTTCTCCAGTTCCCTTTACCCCAGGATGGAAAGTAGAACCTGCCAAATCCACCTAATTAACATAGAATCATCTCTCATTCCTGATGGAAGAAGCTCAAGAAGTGCTAACATGCTAACGTATTTCCTGCTATAACTGTACTGATTTACTCTCATTATTCACTTAGTGAAAAAGTTCTAGTGAAAAAGTGTTCTGTAGAATACATAAGAAAGGCATGCAGTATCCCCTAATCTCTCACTTCATTTTGAGATCTAATGTTGATAAATGGCAAGTTTAAACAGAATTTGTTTAATGCCTGTGCCATTGGCATTAAGTCATACTGCAAAATGAAATGAGTCTCTGAAATTTTAAACTTCCCCATAACTATAGCTGCTTAAAGTTCTGCTTCTGCTATGCTCCAGCTGGGTAATGTGTGGAATCACAAAGAGAATGTGGCAGTGTTTTGTCAGTGGTCTCAGAGACAGGAGGTGCAGCTTTGATACCATGATCCCTGAAGTGGGCTGAGTCATTGATTGAAAGATTGGCCATTAAGCATTTCAGTCCTTCCTCTAATATCCCAGGGGTAGCATTGAGCAATTGCTCACCATTCCAAAGGACGCAGATCAGTCCTGTCAGTACTTGTTTAAAGCCACTGGAGGAGATAGAGCCATGCTGGGTGGGAGAGTCATCAACATATTAACAAGTATCAGAGGGGTAGCCGTTTGAGTCTGAATCTGCATAAACAATGAGAAGTCCTGTGGCACCTTATAGACTAACAGATTTATTGGAGCATAAGCTTTCATGGGCAAAGACCCACTTCATGCATGCATCTGTAGAGGATGCATGTTTTGCATTCTGTCAAAATCACTTATGGCTGCCTGTTCTTACTGGATCCACCACTGATGCTCCTGTCTTTTCAGGTGGCTGTGGTGGCCTGCAGTAGTAAAATTCCTTTTGTAATATGACTTTTCTTCCCATGTGGATTTTATAACAATCTTCCATGTCTTTGTGTCCTCCTGACTCGGTTACTGAAATGTGCAGATTTCTTTGTTACTAATATCATTGCATATCAATAAAAAATGTAAGACTCCTAATATTTGCCTGTGGTCCCTTTAGGAATAAACTACCTCCTTGTGTAGCCAGCTCATCTCCCTGACACTGTGCTAGGGCTACTGGACTCTGAGTAGAAACTGAAGATGTTGAGAGGCTTAATTAGGATTTCTGAAGTGCTTAGGGGAAAGGTGCTGTAACCATAGTGTTGTATTACTATTTCATGTTGCCACAGAAATTTCAAACTACTGTAAGCATTTGCAGCAGAATGTCATGGAAATGGGAGGTTCTTCGTCAAGTGGTGTCCCTGTGGGTGCTCTACTCAGGTCTCGGTGCATCCCTGCGCTGGGGATTGGAGATTTTCAGTAGCAGTGCCCCTCCCCCCTCGGAGGCCATGGAACACACCAGAGCGTGAGTCCCATCTGTTCCTTTACAACTGTCCCTGGCTGAAGACGGAGCTCAGCAGTGCTCTTCCTCCTGAGAGAGAAAATTTGAATCCTTAGTTATTTAATTCCCTTTACCTCATAGTTTTACTTAGTTTAACCTTCTCAACGTTAACTTCAAGAGAAAAAAAAAGCAGCAGCTGCGGATGGGGCGGCTTTTCTTTTTCACTACAATGCCAGATTCCCCAGCTTTAAAAGATGTGACTCCTCTAGAGACTCAATGCCTACCTTAGATGGCCATGCCTCATGTGTCAAATGCCTGGGGGAGTCTCACGTGGCACAGAAATGCCCTCATTGCCTGAGCATGTCGGCAAGGGCAAGAAAAGACCACGAATTACGGCTCAAAGCAATTCTCTGGGAAAAGTCTCTTCAGTCACTAAGGGACAAACCAGAGGACATGTGGGTGCAGCAAAAGCCCTCCAGTATGACACCTTCATCACACCACAAAGGCTCTCAAGCCGCAAGGGCTTCCCCGGCATGCTCCCTGTCCGAGCTGTCTAGAGCCTCTTGTTACCCGGTACCATCAGTGTCTGGTACCACGGAGAAATGCAAATCAGTGCCACATATGCCTCTTCCATAAGCTCTGGTGAGCACCCAATTTAACCAGGCAGAGTAATTGGGACCGCCCTATGGCACAGCAGTATAAGAAAGCGTTGCACAAGACGTGGCACCTACAAAGATCTCCTCAGCCTGAGTCAAAAGAAGTAACTGCCTCACCACGCTCCATAGTGCAGGGACACTCTGAAACCTCTCAGAGTGGCCCCCATTAGCCTATACCGCTGTCCCCAAGATCTGACTATGGTAGCGGACATAGGAGCAGGTTCTCATCACGCCATTCCTTCCCTGTTCCCTCCCTGACTTCCTGGCATTCATACAGGGATTACTCCCTTCAGCAACACCCTGTTTGGCCCACCCAACCATGGATGTTTCCCCCACATCTGCTCCCGCCTCAGTGGAGTCCTTGGGATACACGACAGGGATGCTGACCGCGGTCTTCTCACACTTATCAATCGAGGCACACGGCCTCTACATCTAGGCAACACCACACCTCTAGGCGCTCACCCTCGATATCTGCATGCTCCTCACCCACCCTCAGTAAATTCACAGGCAGGCTCCACTGAGCAGGATCACATACCTCAGTTGGATTCAGAGACCTCCTCCCGTGAGTCCAGGTCTAAACAGGGCGAAGCAGTTTTTCAGATCTCACCTTCTCCCCGGCAGACAACCTGAAACATTTTCAGGAACTTTTTAAACGGGTAGCACAGTCACAATAAATTACACTACAAGAGGTGCAGGATAAACAATATAAATTACTCACCATATTACAACCCTCAGCATCCTCCAAAATAGTTTTACCTATCAATGAAGCTATCCTCAAATCTTCGGATGCTTTGTGGCAAAATCCAGCCTCTGTCCCACCCACAAACTGTAGAGCGGACAGAATATACTTAATCTCTGCAAAGGACATGGACTTTCTATTTGCCCATCCACAGCCAAATTCCCTGGTGATGGACTCTGTGAATCACAGGGCTAAGAATCCACAATTTAAATCTACGCCCCATGACAAAGAACACAAACGGCTAGATGCTTTGGGCCACAAAGTGTACTCTTCGGCCACACTCCAATTACACATATCTAATTACACAGCATTATTGGCCAACTATAATCACGCCAATTATGCCAAATTACAAGATTTGCTTCAGGACCTCCCTGCATTGCCTACAGCCCGATATAGCATCGCAAAGCACCTCTCTTTATCTCCACCTGTACTTCAGTCCCTCGAATGGTGGACATCTGCGCACAACTTTCTCGCTGGTATATTCTTCCATCAACTAGATTCTTCAGTTACTATAACAACAGATGCATCACTCATGGGCTAGGGAGCCCACTTTGGTGCAGTGTCAATACAGGGCACATGGGCCCAACACGAGAGACACTTCCACATCAATATCCTGAGCTCAGGGACATTTACAGGGTATGCACCCATTTCCTTCCCCTCATAAAGGGCAGAACTATCTGTGTCCTCATGGACAACACACCATTCATGTTTTATGTCAATAGGCAGGGAGGTGCCTGCTCACACTCTCCATGTGCCGAGGTAGTCAAATTCTGGAACTGGTGCATCAGGAAACACATAACACCAACAGCAATGCAGACACCAGGACCTCTTTACAACACCGCACAATCACAAATGCCACAGATTCTTCTCTCGGGCAGGACTAGGCAAGAGATCAGAAGGGGATGCCTTCACCATCCACTGGACAGCTCCCCTTCTTTAGGCCTTTCCACCATTCCCGCTCATCGCCAGAGTGATCAATAAGATTTGATCCGATTGGGCCAGAGTAATTTTAATAGCCCCTGGCTGAGACAGCCCTGGTTCCCTTGCCTATCCTACCTGTCAATAGATCAACCTGTGCTTCTCCGGGTGGTACCAAATCTCCTCACACAGCGCCAAGGCAGTGTATGTCACCTCAATGTCAAGACCATGAAACTCACAGCTTGGGTTCTCAAAGGTTCCAGAATGAAGAACTTACCTGCGCAGACAGGGTCAAACAAGCTCTTCTAAACAGCTGTTGTCCCTCTATGAGAAGCATCTACCAGAACAAATGGACATGTTTTCGTCAATGGTGCACGATGAGCAACTTGTATCCCACCACAGTCCCCATATCTACCTTTCTCGACTATCTCATGGACCTCAGCAATGCTGGCCTCTCCATCAGCTCTGTCCAGGTCCACCTGTCCGCAATCATGGCCTTCCATGATCTGGTATACGGTTTCTTCCTCTTCACACATCCAACGGTGAAACGTTTTCTCACAGGCTTACAGAAAATGCATCCAAACATCTGCCCCCCAGTGCCACCGTGGGACCTGAATCTGGTCCTTGACACGCTCACTAAGCACCTTTTGAGCCATTAGCCACTACACCACCACAATACCTATCTATGAAAGTGGCATTCATAGTGGCAATAACATCAGCAAGAAGGGTAGGAGAAATTGCAGCCCTCATGGCAGACCCTCCCTTCATTACATTTACCAGGGATAAAGTCATACTTAGACCCCATCCCAGGTTTCTCCCTAAGGTTATATCCAACTTCCATGTAAATAAACCCATTTACTTACTGACCTATTTTCCAAAACCTCACGCCTCCCCTAAGGAGGCTATATTACATACATTGGATGCAAGAAGGGCAGTGGCGTTCTACCTTGATAGAACTAGAGCGACCAGGAAATCAGATAGGCTCTTTGTTGCGTGATCAGGGCCATGCACAGGAACAGCAGTTTCCACACAGTGCCTATCCAAATGGATTGTAGGCTGCATATGCACCACTTATGAACTTAAGAGCAAACAGCCACCGCAGTCCATCAGAGCGCATTCCACACGTGCAATGGCCACTACAATGGCCTTCCTCAATAATGTACCACTGGCGGACATCTGTAGAGCAGCCACATGGTCCTCTTACCATACTTGCACGTATCACTAGGCCCTACACAAAGGGTGGATACCCTCCATATCTCTAGCAGATGCGGTCCTTTCTCCTTCCACTTAGACAGACTTCAATGCCCACCTTGATGGGGCAGATATTGGTATGGAGTCACTGAGTGGAGCACCCACAGGGACACCACTTGACAAAGAAGTTACTCACCCTGTGCAGTAACGGTGGTTCTTTGAGATGTACCGGTATGTCCTGTGGGTGCTCCACTACCCTCTTGTCCTTCCCTCAGCTTGGAGTCTACAGGAATTTCAGGTATAAAAGGAACAGACGGGACTCATGCCACGTGCACTCCACGGCCTCTGAGAGGGAGGAGGGCACTGAGTGCACAGGTGCAACACAAGAGGCATTGCTACTGAAAATCTCTGATCCCTGGTGCAGGGATGCACAGAGACCTGAGTGGAGCATTCACAGGAACACACACCTCAAAGAACCACCGTTAGTGCACAGAGTAACTACTTCTCTATCCTTTTTTAAATGATCCTTTTTAATGATCCAGAAGATCCATTATTCCTGAATTTAAGAGGAATAAGTGATCTTTCGGAAAAGGCTTTATTTTCTGAACGATCCCGTCTAGACTGGTGCTTTTCTCCGGCAAAGCCCCGAGCCGGAAAAAAGTGGCAGGCATGTTCATGCAAATGCCGCGGGGGATATTTAAATCCCCCGTGGCATTTGCAATTTCGACTTGTCTCATTAGCATCCCTTTTCCAGAAAAGGGTGCCAATGTAGACACAGCCTTAGAGTTCTTTGAAGGGGTTAACAAACATGCGGACAAAGGGGATCCAGTAGATATAGTATACTTAGATTTTCAGAAAGCCTTTGACAAGGTCCCTCACCAAAGGCTCTTGTGTAAATTACATGGCCATGGGATAAGAGGGAAGGTCCTTTCTTGGATTGAGAACTGGTTAAAAGACAGGAAATAAAGGGTAGAAATAAATGGTAAATTTTCAGA